GGCGGGGTGGGGAGTAACAGTGCGACGCGAAGAAAGGCGGGGGAAGCGAGGAAGAAGTGGGCGGGATTGGAGATGTTGCCATTTATACGAGTCTCTGAGCTTGTGGAGCGCTTTGGGACAGGCCTTCCCCTCGGGGGTGTCGAGAGGAAACTAGATTGTCCTACGTGGACCGCTCTCCTGCTATGGAGCTCCGGGCCTGCTATTTCAGTTTCAATGGGAGTGTTTGACGGACGTGAGCCAGTCGCTTAATGGCTGTATTCTGAACACAATTTGCGCCTCACTTTAGAGAAATGTTCTCGTCCTATTCGTCATTTTGAAGAAGATTTGAACAGGTCTCATAATGGACCATCTCAAGCAATGAGTGTTATCCAAGACTCTTTTCAATTAAATAACTTTCTAATGAGTTTGTGAGTCGTTTGAAGGGTATCTGCTTTATCAGAGGTCACAGATCGTAATTGATATTTTTGACATGAAGCATATTGATTATTTTTCTCGAATCTGTATTATTTTCGGTGAAAAAATTGATACGTTGAATTACTGTCAGTGTATGTTGCTTGTATTCTAGAGTCATTAAACTTAAATTTCCGTGATACTTCGACCTTTTATCGTTATTTCTAGCTTTCATTTGAAGTGAGGTCTTCATTTCCAATTTTTCCACAAGTACATCAACCCAATTTATAATTATCTCATTAATAGCATTCGTGGTACGTTTGTTCTGCTAGGGTTGCATACGAAGTCTTCCGTACATTAGCAATGCAGCTGTTCATTGTCGGTTGTGTCCAATCGCCCGCGCCGTCCTGAGTCACGCATAGGCAACTGCTCGAACAGAAGTGTGACGCAAATTGCATACACGCGCCTGCTTCACATTTAATGTTCTCTGGTCTAGCATATTTTTCTACACGTTCCTCTTCAGGGTTACGGAATTGCTTCTTATTGCTCAGTAAGAGGGAGATCAGAATTTATTTTCTTTATAAAGAAAGCATTCAGCGCAACGAATATCTTGGAATGTTAATGTTACAACATTCCTCAATATATTCTGAGTAGTTTTTATATTGCACTTTATACTATTATCCTATCACAAAAGATGTGAAGTTTTCTTTTATTTTCGGAAATTTCAGTGCCTGTAGATATGTCTCCTAGACATTCTAAAATCAATGGAAAGATAACATTCAGAAAAATCGAAAAAATTCACCTTGCGAAGTCTCCCAACGTTACGGGTCTTATAAATACATTAGTTGGTTAACAGTCAATGGTATTACATTAACGTTTAATCTCAACATGTTCAAAACCACCGTTGTATTTTCGCAGGATGTAGGATGAAATATCACCAAGATACTCTTTCTTGTATACCTGCCACTCATTTACTAGAGTTATAATATTTGCAGATGAAAATATCTACATTCTAATACTAGATCAGAAAGTGGTAAGGAAACCGAAAAAATAGTACCCTGCGTGAGGAAAAGATTTTTTTTACGTACGGACTCTATGGACTCTCTTGAGTTAATGAAGCTGAGGGAGTAATATGGAATAAAACTCGGCTGCATTTAAGCGAGAGGCCAGCTCATTGCATAAAATGAAGAGTAATTGATACTGTTAGGGGACATGTGTTTTCGTTTCTTGCGCCATGTTCCTTTTATCCGCAGGCACAATAGTAACTGCCAATGATAAATGATTAACGATTGAGTAATATATTCAAATTACAAACGTAGCCAGGAAGAATATAAAACCTAGAAAAAAAATGTTATTTATTATATTTACCATGACAGATACGGACATCTGTCCGTTTTATTTTCCATACGACATTTTGTTTAATTTTCCATTGATTTTAAGTTAAATGTTTAAATGCGAATACGCGAATGAAGTTTTGTGGTATTTGTGTTTTACTGTGATAATTGCGCTCCAATCTTCTCGAAGGTTCAATGTATGTAGCTGCAAAAGCAATGTAAAAAGCTGCAAAAGCATGCGGTCTGTTACCGCATAAACAAGTGTTGTTTTTTTTTTTTTTTTTTCATTCGAATGCATTTCTGAACAAATTAATTTGCACCTTTCGTTACGTAACTTCACGCTCTCGAGAATTTTACGACCAGTTTTGTTCGCCGTAACTATTATGAAATTCGAGAAAGGATATTTCAATACAAGAGCAATCGGTAGGGTATTTCCTTTAGAGATATCGAGGCGTCTCCAGCACGAATAAAGAGACCAAGCAACAGCATCGTAAAAGTTAGAAAGTGGTACTGTTTTCAGCAATTACGAGCAGATGGACAGTATCGCAATACTCTAGTGGCAATCAGTTTTATCGCAGAGTTCTCTGAGTACTTCACATCGGTTCCGATTGTTTTGTACGATCGTAAACCGCATTGAAATAGTTACTTTAACCGAGATAACTTCTTGCAGGGACAGGGGAATTCCAATCGGTTTTAAAACTATGTTGCGTGGATTTATCTCTCACGAATCTCTTAGATTTTGAACTTTTTTTAAACACGACGTTCCCTCATATTTATAATAACGTAATTAATTCCTTCCAGCATTTTCTAACACTACATTTTACCAGAGCACTAACATTGATATATTTACTTCTCTACATGTGACATTAATTAACGAGCCTTTGTTTTCCAAAATCGTAAATTGTGACCGTTCTTAACTCTCTCCCTGCAGACGAGTGCATCAAATGAAAAATAATTGCAGAAATTGAAATTTCGCTTTCGATGCCCATTTTTAGCTTTCAACGACCAAACGTACAACAAGAAATTGTCTAATGGCACCATCCCATCGCTCCAGGAATACTACCATTAACTTATGAACACAAAGGGCATTGTGGTGTAATGGAACGTGAGTAACTAGCCAAGATCAAGGGCAAGAAACTACTGAAGGCGCGGATCGGGTTGCAGCTTCAGAAGAGAGGAATCTCGTTAGCCTAACGCCTTCAGGGCCGAAAGTCGATTGCGCGCCGCGCCCTGGGCAGCCTGCCGAAGGCGGCCGGCACGGCGGGGGCGGGGGCGTGCACGCGGCAGGGGGGAGGGCGAGGGCGAGGGCGGCGGCCGGTGGCCAAACTCATTTACGCCGAGAGGGCGTTGCACCCTTCTTCACCGTACGCCGGGAAATCCGTCTGGAGTGGGAGGAGGCGGGGGAAGGAAGAGGAGAAAAGCGGCAGACGAGGCGGGTAGGGAGAGCTGCGCGTCTGCGCGAGATGCAACTGGCGGCGCGCAGCTACTGCGCGAGGCGCGACGCCACTGCTCCGCTTGCGTCTCTCCGGCGGTCCTCCGCTGCCGCAGCCCCGCCCTTCCTCCGTCTCTGCTCCTGCCTTCCTCCCCTTCCCTTCTTTCTCTTCGTCTTCCCCATCACCCTCGTCCTGTCCTCCTTCGCACTTATCCTTATTCCGGCACAGGCTCTCCCTGCGAGCGGTCCGCCGGCGCCGCTGGTGTATTGAATCGAGTCGGCGGCGCCCGTGGCGGTTACGAGGGCGGGCGGGGTGGGACGGGCGGGGGGCAGTGCCCGTTGGAGGAGGAGGTGGAAAGCGCGTGAGAGCCGAGGATAAAGCGGGAGAGCGAGATGACGGAGTGGCGGCCTGAGGGCAGTGCGGAGTGGGTAGATTGTGTCCTGGAGCAAGGCAACTTCGCAACGGCAGAGTAAGGATACGCGGAGTTAGACGCGGAGATCGCGCGGACCTGAATAGCTGGGAAGGGCGACGGAAAATCCAGTGAAGTGGCGAAGCGAAAATGGGTGCCAAGGGGGCGAAACTAAAAGTGGTTCTGAGGGTGACCAAATTATGATTGGAATTGAAATATCGCCGACACATAATAGCAGCAAAAGATACCAATGGTCGCAAAAGCAGAGAGTTGAGCCAGGAGGTGCCCTGACTGGAAAGACTAAAATGAGGAGGATGCGAGTGAGAAGGTAAAATATCGAGAATAAAGAGAGAAGTATTCATAATTTGGGCTATAAAAAGACGCCATAACAGGGACGTCTGTGGTCAAACTGGAAACTCACTTTTCCATACACAAAAATGGTTAACTATACAATGTGTGAAAAGCCGTGAATTACACGAACAGAAAATATTAATATTACAGTTTCAGCAGTTTTTTTTTCATTTAGACTATATTTCAAATTAATAATACGGTTTGCCTCGCAATAATATTAGAGACAGGTGATTCCGAGCGTGTATACTTCTTGGACTTTATCCTACTTTATACAAGGAAATTTACCATTTTGTCTCTGAAAGAAGGCCTACGTTGAACGCGATTCGTGTGAAATATTTGAACTCCGGAGTTCTCCGCGTGGCGTTTTACCAATTCATTTGCCAAACTAGTTTGGCTAAACACTACACACTAACCCCCATTAAAATCAATTAGAATGTTAATCATTGTTCAAATTTTATATTAAATAAATGCAATAGATTCGTAATGACTTACATTGTCAATTAATGAAATACAAATAAAAAAGGGGAAAAAACGAGAGAGTAAATAATATAACTGTAAAATACTTGGACCAAATATTAGGTTGACTACGTTTTCAGTAATAATGGTATATTCACAAAAGTGATGGGCGAAATAAGAAGAAATTGAAAACACCCAAACTATCACAAATATGAATATCTCTTTCGGTTCATGATGGTTTTGTGTTAAATAGATCTGTCTTCATTCACAAGTGAAGTCACATTCACCAGTACGACAGGCCTGGCCCGAGTAAGGACGAGGGGCCGTAGCGCGCTGAAACGACAGGCAGGGTGGCGGGCCATCGTGCCAGACGGGCTTTCCTGCCACTCCGCCACCGGGCCGTTTTAAACCCATCTGCAGTGTCTGCGAGTGGCTGGCCCGGCGGAAGGAGGTGGGAGGTGGCAGCAGCAAGGCGGGGCGGGGCGGGGGAGGGGCGGGGACCGGGGCGGGGCGGGGCGGGGCACAGGAAGCTTCCGAGGTGGGAACTCAACGCGAGGACAGCCCTTTTCAGAAAGGCCGCTTTACGAAATGACACCGCTTGCCCGGTCGCGTCAACCGAGGGCCTCTTCAATGGAGCACGCCAAAGTTTCCCTTACGACGACCTCCTGCCATGCGGCTGAGAGGTTCCAGGTTGAATGCGTCACTTTCGCCATTCTGTGACTAAACAAAACACCGTTACATCAATTAAAATTATGTCCGGTTTATACTAAATTTGGACGAAATGGAGTTTATTAGGAGTTTTCTTTGGTGAATATTCCAAGTGCATCGCGATAACATGCATCATATTGCTGCATTGGATCATTACATTAGAGAAGAGGTCCATTCATTACCGTTTCGAAGCCAATACTGTAATGCCTGACTAGAAGGTTCAGGACAGGTATTTTGAGTCGGGACAGGTATTTTGAAGCCGACATTAAACGTAAGTTTATTTTACGATTTTTTTGGTCAGTTTCTCTTCTGCCATCAAAGTTTGACCAAATTAGAATAAGCATTAACCGATCGCATGGAATTTCATAAATTACTTTTTCAAAGTATTTGAAATAAATTATTAATTTATACATTGGGGTTGGAATCTAAAATCAAGAGCTCCCAACCGACCCTGGTGAGAGAACTCTTCCCACAGCGTCCAAATTCCAGTGACAGTGTGGCTTGTTTGCAGAATTTCGGTTTATTTGAACAGAACCAGCTCGGCGTAACCACCAATCGACTCGCTGAAACACACAATTACAAGCATAAAATATGAACAGGAATGCACATTCTGGCGCGTTTACTAGCTAAATGGCATCCATAATTCCGGTCCCTCAAAGAATAGCACGCGAGGACGAAACCGTAGCAATGCGACACGCGGCGCTGTGTCCCCAGGGTGTTTCAATCCCCACATTTAGTGGTGACGCTACAGTAACGCTCTATCCCTGTACCCTTCTATCTACAGTATCCCTTCTGCAGAAACAAGGACAAATTGCAGCCGAACTGCATGTAGTTCGTAGTGGTAATATAGGCGCGCTCTGTGGAAAAACTACGCTTACATAAACGTTCGCCCTACATATATGCAGGTTTTTAATTTATATTATACTATTATTACACTATTATTATTATTATTATTATTATTATTATTATTATATATTATATTATTATAATATTATTATATTATTATTATATTATTATAGACATGATTATAATAACGAGTTTAGTTGCCACCATCTCTGCTCAGCGACGCTGCAGCGCCGTGACGACTATCTTCGATATATAACAGGCGAATGCTAGAGCCGTACCTTAACAATCGCCTCGTGCGCGATCATCCTTTCTCTTCCTTGTAACCCTCCCTTCCCCTTAAAACGAACCACTACACTTCCACACCTATCGGGAGACCCGGTATTAGCTTAGAGATAGTCTGAGCCCGCTTGGGGAGGCACGTGGAGAGTAAAATCCCCTGCAAGCCGACGTGTACCACGGCGCCGGATCTCATCCTATGGAGAAGGAGTCACCACCACCTACAGACGTAAAGACAGTCACTACACTACTCGGAGTAAAGACCACAGCAGACGACACCCCGAGGCACAAATTTTCCACGAGACGTGCATTTTTTTTATCGCACGAAGTAGGCAAGCGTTTTCGCGAAGCCGCAATGGGTGAGACTGGCGCACGTGTTCTTGCCCATTGTAGTTGCGTCGGCGGTTCCAATGCCCAGTTGAAAGGGCCTGGCGGTTCCGCGCCGCGGCGCTCTGTCGCCGCACGCGTCGCCGCATCGACCTGCTCGGTGGGCAGGAGACGGTTCGACCCACCCCACCCCGCCCACGCACCCGCTTCAGCCCCGGCTGTCCGTCCGCTGCTCCCGATGCCTCGTGCCCGCACGGGAACAAACTGCGAATGCTTTGCTTTTTTTATTGATTTTTTAGCGATTCGGAGTGAGTCAGCGACTAAGTGAATTACTCCCGTAAATGTAGCGCGCGTGTGCTTTCCTCGAGAGGTTGCGGTGATTTTCCACTGTGGGAAGGTGAGATCCGGAACCGACCAACCGTTTGGCAAGAGGGTTTACCCCAACCAGTTATCTCCCACCAGCGGAGCGCCACCGCAAACGGGACATCTAATATCCCGACCGGTCTCCCGGCATGTGTGGTAGTGTAGTGCAGTAAGTTTGTGTAAGTACGGGATGAGGATAGGACAAGGAAGAGAAATGAACGAATCACGGTCAGTGACGCGTACGTTAGGGTATTGCTCCAGCATTCGCCTGGTATAAATCGGAGAAACCACGGAAAAGCGATTGTGTGTGAAACGTCGAGGCGGATGGCACTGGTTTCGGGAAAAGAGAAGCCTCTCTGATAGCATCCATAGTTTTGGTTTGCACCTTAACTCTGGCGTACCATCTTCCTACTTCGTCACCGTTCCCGTCCCCACCCCTGTTAAAAGCGCTCTGCTCGCGATGTTTCATCCCAGCCCTTCACGTTCTGCATGGGAGCAAATTTTGATGCTGTGGGAAACTACGAGGAAGTAGAAACTCGCCGAAGGGAGGGAGTAAATCCTCTCCCGAGTTCGGGTTCATCCTCGCCAGCGTTACCTATACCGCCCTATCCCCGCAACCCCCCCCCTCCTCCCTTCCACGACGTACTTCATCACACACCTTTGATCCGCTCTATACCGTAACTTCTTGCCACATACCGAACCGTATCTCTTCACATTACAGAACCTACTATTTGGTAGAGTCGGAATGTCCTCATTCAAGTAGAATTCAATTTCAACTTCAGCGCCATGCGATGTCCCATGGCATTCCGGCGATGACCACTTTTCTCGTACCGTCCCCAGTGTACCCCATGCGCAAATATGCTCTTCTTTAATTTATCGTCAGAAATTAAAAAAAAAACCTGTGGCGTATGCATGTACAAGTTCAATCTGAGCACTATTTTAAACGTGGTTCACCATCCTACAGTTCTCAGAAGAAAACTGTCCAAGTATCTCGCTCATTGTGTAACTTTATAACATACTACATCACTCTTTGAGAGATTCCGAGGACGTCAACTACTTTGTTCTCATGTCGTATATGCAGAGCATGTTATATCCCAGGTGGTGGTGTTCCACGCCCGCTGGAACGTGAGATTCAGTGCCGACCTACAAGTCGGCTTGACAGAACTTTCTCCTCACCAACCATCTTCTCAGCTGGGCACCGCGTCCGTCAGGACAAGCTCTAACCTCCCACTACGCGACCTTTGGTGGTAGGGTAGCGCATGGAAGTCTAACATCGCTCATACGGCCATTACTCTCACCTACATTCCGTTCCGTCTTTTTTATTTAATTCTCACCCCGCCACACACCCGTCAATCGCGGCCTCTGCTACATCCCATGTT